TTGAGGGTTAAGCCGCCTCGGCCTTGCCAACCCACAGCGAAGTCAAACTTGATGCCCGCGTACGGGCAATTGGCGCAAGCGTACTTGGTGTCGCCTTGATTGAAATAGCCTGCGAGCCTACCGCTATTACAAAGGTCCCTGATAGCACCCCTAGCCGCGTCTTTGCAGGCTTCGCTGGCCCATTTCTGGCCGCTGTCGGGAAAGCAGCGGGCCATAGTGACACTGGCTGAAGCCAAGATAACGAGGGGTGTAGAGATCTTCATTGCGAAATCGTGATCGGAGCAGAGTCTGGATTGAATATTGTAGGGTGATGACTCGAGGCTTGACTGCGTTTGGAAGTTTGGCTCTTCTACGGATCAATCGGTGAAGATTAGAACGAAAGTCGCTCTCTTTGAAGTGACTGGCTAAAACGGTGTTGGAAATGTGTTCTGCGCAATTGGTATGTAGACTAATCTTAAATTAGCACAGGGTGAACAAAGCGCATTGGACCGCGGAGTGACTCCACAATGTCGGAAATCTTGGTGTGTCATCCTGCAGGGAAGCGTCTTTCAGTGAGAGAAAATGCATCCATTGCATTGAATTCAACGTGGATGTGATTTGTTTTATTACGGCGGTTGCTCCGTTACAAGTGGATGGGCTTTAACTACTTAGTGAACTATCTAACTTAGGACGACTGATGATCCACTACTTCTAACCAGCTTCTCCAGCGGAGATAATTCTTTACAAAGATCTCGTGTGCGAACATTACATCAATCACAAGCACACCGCGCTCCCTGGATTCATCTGACAGTGCTGGCCCGGCTCTCCAGTCTTACAACTCCCACCGGACGGACAACTTTGTAGCGTCCACATTCCACAATCTGCTTTCACCTGTCCGCCATTGAACGGACATGCTTCCCTGATTGCTTTGAATGGGTTGGTACAAGCATTCTGAACATCTGGCTGAGACTTCCCTTTCTCCGTATACAACAGCTTGCAAAGCTCTGGGGCGTTCGCGTCCATGGTGAACGTTGCGTCGTAACGATTATTGTTTTTGGGATCGCCATTCCCCCCTGAGTCGGCCCCGACTTGCGTCCAAGTTGGTTCAGTGCCGGCACAGAATGTGCTGATTCGCTCATCAGTCATCACTATGGAAACGATTCGATCCGCATCGGTAGTCCCGTGGCTTGGGAAGCACTCTGGTGTTCCGACGTGAGGATCGATGGGGGTTTGAGTGGCATTCGACGGTGTTGGTGTGGAAAAGGGTGGGGTCATGGTAGAGGCAATGGGAGAGGACGAGGTAGGGGCAGTGGGAGGGGGCGCGGTAGAGGCATCGGAAGAGGCCGGGGTGGTATCGGAAGAGGATTCCGACTTGGTATCGGGAGGGTCGTCTGGGAGTGGGCCGGAAGGTTCGATACCCATGATCTCTTGGTAGTCAGGTAGTGGAGGGTCTCCAACGAGGGTCACTGTAGGCACAGGAGCGACTGATGAAGACGAAGACAGAGATGACGACGTTGGAGTCGGACCATCAGTCGTAGTCGGACTATCAGTCGTAGTGACATCAGGGTCTTCACTTGGCTGTTCAGGGTCACTATCGCTTCCAGGTGGTGTTGAAGGAGGTGTCGCTCCCGGTGGCAGAGGAACACCCCCGTTAGGCACTGCGTTCATTGTCAGCTTCGCTCGAGACAAGTATTTCACCCATGCTTACCCCATATAAATCCACCAGGCCCGATGATTAGAGGAATGACAATGATCGCGCCACTAGAATCCGTCGTGGTTGTCGAGGCCGTCGTTGCTGTTGTCAAGGTCGAATATTCGGGAACAGTGGAGGGAACGAACTGTATTGTTTAGTCAGAAGATGGATCACAATACTGCTGTCTGCATTTGACTCACGGTTATAGTCATTAGACTTCCAGCCGAATCCGTCTCCGTGAGCACAGTCGACGTTGAAGAAGGTGATGGAGTTGAAGAAGGTGTTGGGGTTGAAGAAGGTGATAGAGTCGAAGATGATGTTGGAGTTGAAGATGGTGATGGGGTAGGAGACCCAGGGTCTTCTGGGCCTTGAATGCCATTCTCTGGAAAGACTATGTCGGCGATGGTGTAGATGAAGCCATTGAGCGACCAAAATCCGCCCCAATAGTTGTCGTTCTGGATGCATTGCTCGATGATGTTCGAGAAAGCTTCGTTGCAATTCTCAATGGGCTTGGTGGCGTCTTCTCGCGTAACATTGAAAAGCATCGAGCGTGCATTGTAGGTAGCGATTTTGCTGTTCAATGTGTTGTTCAGTGTATTGTTTAGTGGCGGGAATCCACCAGCACAGATGGTGCCATTGGGGTCGTTCAGGGCACCAGAAAGAAAGCTGGCGATATCTGCGCCTGAGGGGTCCCCTTCTTTGCGGGGCTGGTTCGAGTCGCAATCTGCTCCGTTAACGACGGGGATGTTTGAAACAAGGAAAGCAATTATCGATATGGCTCGGAACTTCCACATGATGGAGACAGCGTCGGTGATGTAGTTTCCGTGCAACGACAGTTCGGTAGATTTCTGGGCATCAATGAGTTTCGTTGCTGTTTCCAGGCTTCTTCTGTTTTTAAACGCCAGTACGTACCTTGATGGAATCCAAATAGCTTCTCTTCTTTATTGGTTTTGTGTGATCTTCACCGAATGTATCTCAGTGGTTGCTTATAGCAGCTCAACAAAACGAGGAGCATCGGGAAAGTTTATACCTAGGTATTCCAGTTCCCAAACTTCCAAGGCTGATTAGAAGCACAGTGAGGTCTTGACTAATTTTAATTTGCGATTGAACAGGTTTGGGGGCTGTAAGTCAACGTAAGCTGAGTGCAGCCCCCAGGGGTTTAATTTTGGCCCCGGGGCTGCTCATACGAATGGGTCCTGGATAATTTAACTATACCATTAGAATGGAGTTAGGGGCTATAAGATAACGTGAGCTGAGCCCAGCCACGGGGGGCGCAATTCAGGAATGCCACTCACGGGAGCTCATTAGAGGAATCTCAATCTTCCTGCCCCCATAGTCTTACCTCCAAGTCTCAAGTATTCCAGAACACGATCTGCAGGGCTGAATTAAGATTATTTCCCGGTTTCTCAGCCGTGCGGACTAGCTTTGGGGCTCTTCTTACGCAGCATCTTCACACCTGGGCAGATGCCTGCGAATAAATCTAGCATGCGATAGCCTTCATATATCATAGTATTCCTCTCTCGCTCTAGATTCGAGAACACATCTTGTGGCAGTTGCTCTACAACTCCCCGTTCAGCATATTATTTAATTCTTGGACGATCATTCTATCCTCAATCATCTCTCCCGAGGTCATCATGCGGTCTGAACTATTTTGTTTTCTCTTTATGAGCATCCAGGCAGTCCAGGTGTCGGCATGGGCCCTGCATTCAAGTTGCACTGGTGACACAGCAACTCGAGTGGAAAACACCATGAAAGTTGTGTTCGAAGTCCTGGATTACGCTTCAAAGCGGGCACGAAACACACAATACATACAAACCGATGCAACACTCCTACAAGACCTTCTGGGAGCGCCAGATGAGCACGACCAAGCGACTCTGAATCTCGCACATAGTAAGTTCCTCAAATCCTCAGACTTGCCCAGGTGCCCATGGTGTTTTGTGATGATTTCTGACTTTGTCTTTTAGATCAGTTCCAGGGTGCTATAGATACTACAGGACAAAGGCAGCCGCCCGATCGTGGTGTCTTGATATTCTGCTCAGATGACCATCTCACATACCCCGAAGATGGCTTTCGGGGGGTGTATTTCGACAACGGTGATAACAGGCAAGCGCAGGTTCGTGCCAAAGCTCCCGTCCCTGGTGCTACTGGACCTTGCAAGGGCAATCTTCGTGCCTTTGTTTACCCTTTCGGGTTTAAGGATGGATCACAGCCTGGTGGTACCGCCGTGGTTCTCTGCTCGAATTGGGGAGGAGGCGCAATCACATCAACCCAAGATGTCGATGGCGAGATCGGCGATTGGCGAAAAGGTGGAGACTTGAGGAGATATTCTCAGGGCATCGAAACAGTGGGACAATATCTGAGCTATATGATCATACACGAGTTGATGCACGTCGCAAATCTGCAGCAATGTAAGACTTCGCATCCAATTACATCTCGATATAGAGAACTAACAAGTCTAATAGGTCCAGCAGCACTTCCAGACGGCAACATTGGAGAAGTGTATGGATACGAGAAGATCGCTGGTCATGCACCCGGCGCTGAAGGTGGCAGTCCTCCTTCAGTAAACAACCGCCAACACAATGCCGATTCCTTTGCGTTCTTAGCATCTGGTATGCATCACTCTTTCAACGCATTCTCCAAGAGAAAATGCTAATTTTCAATGCAGCCTGGTACCTGAATCTGTATAAATGGACGAATGGCGCAGCAGTCCTCACAAAGAAAGCTGAACGTCCGCCAAATGAGTTGTAGTTGAGAACGGTGTTAGGATCGGAAGAAACTTCTAGAACCTCTAGCATGGTGTTAAGCAAGTTCCCTTTCATGGAATAGTTTGGTGGATAGTATTGAGATGGGGTGTGTACTTGTCCACGCAGCGACAATAGGTGTTCACAATCTTGTCCCAATCGAGAGTTGTATTCCCAGTAATGACGGTTCCAAGTTCTAAACCTCAAATAGCCTTACACTCACGCCATTTCGAGGGAAATATCAAACATGCCGCAGCCTACGTTTACAGTTGGTCGCCTATTTTTGATATTGCTATCTTGATGTAGACTGCAGGCCTGTTCAGTTTTTTTGCGCACCTTCCCTGGTTCCCACTTTGCAGGGGCACGACCAGCGTAAAAGCTAGAACAAGTGCGTACATCTTGCGCCCCGACTCCAGGAATATCTTTTGATCACTTGCAACAAACGTCACCTTGCACGCAAGCCACAGGGGCGATGCACATCGGGCTTAGTAAGCTGAGAATAGACCTTGGAGTATAAGACCAGGCAGCCGCCAGCCATTTCCCCGTCCATCGTCTACCAAACTTTACAGAACAACCAATACCACACAATGGCAACCCAATCAAGCGTTGAGGCGAACCCTAAGTCAATTACTATCGTAGACGCAATTGTTACCCCGCCGCTACCAAATTGGAAGGAGCTGCGCGACCTTCCCGCGCCTAGCGGCCCACTGCCCGAAGACGACGAAGATGACGAAGACGAAGCGACAAGTAAAGAGGAGGCCTTGAAGCCGAAGGAAGTAAAAGAAGCCAAAGAAAGCGAGGAACGAGACAAAAGCGAGAAGTAAGACGATGTAAGTAATATATGTGAGAAGCAGGGCAGTGTACACAACGACAACCTCGCATAGGGTCTAGGATACGCACTCCTTTGTTTCCAGGGCGTCCGGTGGAAAACATGTCTCGAACATGAAGAATGTTTCCAACGACTACCCCATATCGCTGGATATGCTATTGCTTCTGTGCTCAATGCCGTTTACAGAACAGAGGCTTACTAGATACAGGGGAATGAGTGTGCAGAATGGTGGTGTGGTGTTGCAGTGGTGGACTGGGTACGACATTTACGCCACCACCCACTCACTCTCCGATATTCCACCTACTCACACGGCAAAGACGGAACAAAGGAAATCTATCACCATTACTATCAAGAACTACAGAGTACCTTCTGCATCATTCTTACTAGATATCACATGCCTTGCTACAGCAAACTCGTATAACTTTATGCGTATATAACTGACCACAGCCCCCTACTATGTATCACCCCACCACAACTCGCATCGCCTTACCTTAACTTAACAAACGCCAGCAGAGATGTTCCGAAACACAGCCGCAGAACTTCTCAACCTTCGCAACTCAATTCTGGATCACATTACGTTTGTGAACCCTTGGCCGCACGGAAGACTGAGCCTAGTAACATATCCCAACTTAGACAACACATGGGACGTGCGCGCTATAGTAGTCATGTCGGACGAACCGTATGAAGCGAGGGTAATAACGCATGTGAACGATAGCCGGTGTGAGCTGACGGGGTTGCGGGAAATGCTACATTCGCTGCAACAGGCTCATAGGCGGATACTTCAAGGGACGGTAACAGGCGATATACTCATCGGTTCGGGTATTGGGAATGGACATATGGACGCGTTAAGGATAGCTCATGGGCGAAGGGGGGCTGCAAGACCGCTAAGAGGACAAGAGATGCCACTGAGGCACACGCCACATGGGATGCGACAACCTCGCGCCGAGTGGGTGGACGACGCTCATTATTGGGAGGATAACCGGAGCGAAGCTGTTCCGCCTCGGAGATACGACATCGATGAATGAACTGCTGCTTCTGAACAATATCAGCGCGAACTAGAAGAGCAGGCTGCATAGCGGTACTAGGGGCTAGGACAGCGTTCTGTTTCACTTGTAGCTTATGGTGACGAAATGATGTATTTGGTCAAAATACTCCATAGAAAGACTGCGTAATACTACATGTCGCTGATGATCGGGAGCATTGCCGGGATGCGATTGGATCATGTGTGGTACAGGGATGACGGAGCCGTTTTGACTTCATGTGTGAGCGTTAGAGTCACATGTAAATGACGGGAGTCATCTTGACGCGGTGGCTTGGCGTGACATATCGTAAAGTTTCTTGAAACACCGCACAAAGGCTGTAGTATGCCAGAGTCTAGGCTTCGAAGCACTGGAAGCATACAAATAAGTTATGCTTTCTTTGCAGCCTGCTCGGTACTTGCGTAAGGTTCACCTCCGTTCTAGGGCTTATGGATGGGCGGTACGGAACGAGTCCCGGCGGTAGTGTAAGGTTCAAGTGCGGCAATCGCACGAGAAGTCAGATCTAGATCCGCGTCAGACAAACCTCTGCTGGGCAATTCTTGTGTCGCAGCCCGGTAGAAGTACGTTTGATGTTGCTCTTATCGCCACTGTGGGGAAGATAACGCGGGTAAAAGAGTTTCGAGATTGACCTCAAGATAGCGCATAGTGATGGCGCGTAGGACAAGAGGCTAAGATGGATGATTGTGGTTATTTCTGATACGAGTATTTGGAAGTGAGCGGCACTGTCAATCCCCCTTGCTGTTCGCACTATAAAGTGCCAAGTATAGGGTTCGCGCTGCGGCGTGCCGCTAGACGAAGAAGCAGTCAAAACTTGACATGTGAAAGCCGTGAGTATTTTGTGCCAAATCTGTTGATGGTGGCGCGAATACCAACAGGCGATCATGGAGAGTATAGAGTTTCGGCTATCTAGGACAATGGCTTATCGTCGGGCCTTCCTCGAGTGTTTGATCACGGCGCGGCAAGTTTAGGTTGCGAAAAACAAGAGATCTGGTAGCAGGGGCTATTGAAAGTGAGTGATGATGCATGGCTGGGCAAGCGCGATAGGCGACTGAGGGGTGGCTCAGTATGCAGGTCCCGTCTTGGTATATTGGAACACTGCAGCGTGTATAGCCGGCGCGACAAAGGAAAGTGCGCATCCCGGGGTATAGTCACGCTATGTGCCTGCTGATCTCTGGATTACTCAAAACATGAATGACATGCGTGTTATCGGAGCAGCTGCCCGAGACCAGAAGGTCGCGATGTCAAGATCTTAGGCGGTGGAAGGTTGTGGAGGGGTGTTCCCTGTGTACGGAAGATTTCTGGTGACGCATCTGCGGGCTCGGAGATATGAGCACTAAGCGAGTATTGCCGTACAACGTGTCCATGAGGAAGTCGCGATGGCGGGTCTGGCAGCGACGTGTTAATGCCAGCGTGGGCAGGAATAAGGTCGGGATGAGTTGGCGCTCGAGGACTCAGGGGGTGAGCAGTGGAGAAATGCATTGCTGGACTTGCTTTTGCCCAACGGCACCAGAGGGTGGTGGACGGAGAGGCAAGATATGCAGGAAAGCGGAGTTGTGGATTGCCCGCAGGAGGCGCGACCCGTGGTCTCACGCCGTGCAGCAGCCCCCGGGACTTGTACCTTTTTAATTGACGAGCCGAGCGTCCGTCTGCACAATTGCTGTTGGATAGTCAGTGATAATTACTCCAGCCGCGTGCGGGCCTATCAACGCGCGCTGGAGCGACTTTGTGTCAGCTCGTCCTGGGTATACCGAACGTTTTAAGAGGCAGAATGGGAACAGGGCGGGGGTCGACCCTATTGACGGAACCGCGTTAGTGAACAAGTGAACAGTGCTTGGGGTTCGTGATTTGCCGTGTGGCTGCAGGATGCCAATGGCTGGTGGTACACGGCAGCGTTTCATGGGCGCGACCAGGAGGCAGGTCGGGGGATGCAGCAGACAGGGCTGGTCCGGGCGCGGGGACCAAGACGTCTTGACTCGCAGGCGCGACCGTGTTGGATGCTTCGGTCGTGGGCGTGCAGGGGTGCCACGACAAAGTTTGGGATCTCCTGCACCGACATCTCAAAAGTTGCTAGCTGCCCTTCTCCTGCATTGGGGCCAGCAGCCAGCAACGCTTCTCTGCCCCGAACGCGTCTTGCGACCGCGACGGCGTCTGCTGCTTTCTCTTCCTGCCCTCTCTGTTCTCAGATCATTGCCTGGGGACTGAGGCCGCTCCCCCATCTGGTGGAGATCCGCACCTAGTGCTCGCGCGTGGCTCCTCTTGGCCTCGTCCTGCAACACGACCACCATCGTCGTTTGGAACCCCTGAAGCCCCGCAACCCTCTCGTAAACTGAGTTTAGAGCCACCGCCGCCTGCGCGTGTCATGCGAAAGCGACTGCGAGACGCCTTGCCTCACCCCTAGCATCGTTCTGCCGCAAGCCGCTGGCTTCCCAGGCTGAGGAACGGCGCGCCCAAGCAGCATCGCGCCATTGACCACCTCCGTCACCTGTCCGTGCCGTCTGCAGTCACGGCACGCTGCTCAATTGCTCCTGCATAGCCCTCAGCGACCTGTCTGGGCTTTCCGGAGAATGCTCCTGCGCCCCAGTGTGGGAAGGTACTCGACGCTCACTCTCTCCCACCGCGCACATCACCATGGCCGATTACTCACTCCACGACGGCCGTCCCTCGACGCCCACCGGCTCCTCGAGGACCTTCCGACCGAACGGGTCTATGCGAGCCCTCAACACCAACCCGCCCAAGCAGGAGACCTTCTTCGACGATGCCACCCCCGTAGACCGCTACAACGACTCCTCCAAGCACGATCCGCTGCGGGACTCGCACGACCTCTCCTTCGCCGAGGGGGGTAACGTGAGGGACTCTGTCGTCGACAACATGCTGCTCTCGCTCGACCAATTCTCCACGGGCAACCTGTTCGGCGGCAGCTCAGGGCCCCAATACAACAACTACGCCGAAGACGACTTCTTCCTCAGGGACAACTCGTACCGCCCGCCCGGCGCCCGTCATCGCGGCCACACCTACGCTTCGTCACGCTCCTCCGACTATGACCTCAACCCCGACGAGCACTCGCGATACACAGTCCACCATTCGCGCGCACGACGAAGTAACAGCAGCAACAACATCGGCTCGCCCATTCACCGGAAGGGAAGCACGCGGGACATGTACACGGGCAGGCAAGGCACCGGCCAGTATGGCCAGCTCCCACAGGCGGGCCATCTGAGAGGCGGCAATAAGAAGGGCAGCATGGGCAGCGGCTCCTCGAGCATGGACTTTGGCCAGTCTGGCATTTTGGGCAACCAGCGTCTTGGTTTTGGGAAGCGCTCAGCGAGTTTCGACCATAGCAATGCAAGCGACCGGGGTAGAGTCTCACCTCTCAGAGTTGAATCTGTCTTGGACCGTGGTAGGGTTGCCTATCAAAACTATCCCGATGAATACGATGCCGCTCCCGAGCCCACCATCCCGGCTGGCCCTCGAAGGGTCCAGGAACCACCGCAGTCCCCGCTCGCTCTACCTCCCCAGCCAGCCTTCGCCGCACCACAAGGACCGAGGCCTGGCCGCAGAGGCAGCGTGCGCTCCAACACAAGCTACAGAACGCTGCGCAAGAACAAGAGCCAGCCTGGACCAAGCATGAGAGCCCAGGCGCAGGAGTTTGTCAACGCCAGCACCTTGCGGGAGTTGCCTCCTGTGCCATCATGGCATGACCCGTCCGCTCCCTCACCGTCTGTGGCCGCGAGAAGTCCCCTGTTCCCTGTGCAAACCCCAGCAGCGCCCAAGCCTGGCTTCTTCCGCCGTGTCTTTGGTGGAGGCTCCTCCAAAGCTTCATCACCCCTCCCAACCCCCACAGGCCCACCGACGTTGTCGCAAGAAGCTTCAACACCCGTCTCCACCAAGCCACAGACGGCCGATGTCAACTCCATGTACTCTGCCGCACGACCCCGCACTACCCCGAACAACAGCAGTC